TAGACTGGAAGTGGACTGCTCCCTGCCCATTGGGTCTCATGCTCTGCTATTTCTAGGCCAGATTGTTGTGAACTGACTCAGTCTTCAACCTTTTCCTTTTCTTCTCTTTCTTTCTCTCTCCTTTTTTTAAGCCTCTAATTTCACTTTTCTTTCCCAAAGCCAGGAGTGGTGAGCAGATGGTGGTGGAGTGGTTCCCCTTGTTGTCCCTCAGGCAGCTGGGCACTGGTGGGGTATCTAGCTGGGCTCTCAGGCTTTAAAAGCTCAACCTCCAGCTCTGTTCTCAAGGCATTTGCTGGCCATTTCTTTTTTTGTGCCTACAAAAAGCCATTAAAAGAAAAGTGCAGCAACAACTGAAGCCATTTAGCATGAAAGTCCCTTCCAATTTTCTTATTTCTGTGATGCCTATATGCGGCTATGGACTAACAGGGTGTGTGGGGGGGGAAGTGTAACAGAGCAATTAGCTTGGAGATGAAAATCATTAAGCGTTATGGGGCTTAATGGGATATTTCTTCCCCCTCCTCCTGCTTCTTTGGAAAGGGAAGCTCTCCTTGGAGGGCAGCCAGGGCTTGTTTCTGTAGCAGAAGCATCATCCTGGCCCTCGGGGACTCGCTGCAGCTCCTGGGGTGTACCAAAAGCTGGGGCAGAGGAGCCAGGCTCTGTGATGAGGATGGGGACAGCTTTGAGGGGGCTGAGCCCCTCTGGAAGCAGCTCAGAGACAGAGGGACAGTGGCTTTGCCCCACACCTCAGCTTCAGTAACTATCCCAGCTTGCTGCCATGGTAATTTCATTTTTCAGCATTTTTAAAGGCCCAAATGGATGCAGCCACAAACACACCCCTGATTTGGCAATCAGAGTCATATACATATTTATATACATCGCACAATTAGGCTGAGAATAATTTCTGGCTCCTTGCCTGACAGGATTTAGAAGGGTAAAGCATCATGCTTGTGTATCTGGGTCACTCACCCTGCAGGAGGAGGTACTTTGGCCAGGGGGCCAGCACCTGTGGGTTTGCAGCAGTGTCCCCATAGCATCCCATGGGCTGCATCTCCTCCTCTGCAAAAAATGAATAAATAAACAACTGTAAAGAAAAAGGAGAAAAAGGAACTCCTAGGGGTGCGTGTGAATCAGATACAAGGGCATTTGAATTCACACCTTGAAAAACGATGTGCGAGGAATACTTGATTTCATTCACAGCAGTTTAGGTGTTGGAGGAGCACCAATGGAGCAGAAGTGTTACGATTAAATATGCTCAGTTAGAATCACCAAAAAGAAACATCTCTTAAATAAGCAGTGATTTCCTAGCAGGGAAGCAGGATTTTTTTATTATTTTTTTATGTGATCTGGATAAAACAGTTATTTATTTTTTTTGTAGCATCCTGAGATCAGTTATGCCTCACCATCATTTTGCAGAACTTTGGCAGTGTCAAAAATGCTTCCACAGCAGAAGGGAGGAAGGTTGGGCTGGAGACATTTCAGCCCAGCCCACTTCTCCCACGCCAGCCCAATGTAAGCAAAGCTGTTGGTTTGGAAACATTGCCACCAGGCTGAGCACAAAGGCAACAGTCCAGAAAACCAAAGGAACTCAGATCCTGAGGCCCTTTACACTAACACACAAGGTTAACCATTGACCCTAACCAAAAAGGATAACCCTCAACAGTAAACAAAAATTGGTAACCCTAAACCTTAACCCAAATATGTAACTTTTAAACCTATTGCAAATTGGTAAGCATCATCCCTTAACCCTAACACCAAATGGTAACCCTTCACCCTAATCCAAAAGGATAAACCTTGACTCTTAATCCTAACCCAAAAGGGTAACCCTTGACCCAAAATAATAACCCTCAAAACTAATCAAAAAGGGGAACCAGTAATCCTTAACCATAACAAAAAGATAGTTTTCCCAGGCAAAAATCTTTGAACAAATAGAGGGATAAGGCTGGGATCTGCATGGACAGCTGACCATAAGGAATTCAGATGGGAAGAGGAACGCAACACTACTGAGTTGTCTTTGGCACCACCATGGCACAAAGGAGCCTTCAACCTGGTCTCCGAAAGCAGAATATTTTACACTAAAATTACAAGAGGTTCTATCTAGAAAAGCACTTTCTGAGAGTGTGGAATGGCCTGGGGGTTTGGAGAAAGCATCACAACATCAGAGCAACCCTAACAGTTCAAAGTAATGTCCCACCAAATCCAGCATCCCATTTCCAACCCCCCAAATCCAGAAAATAACACTTGGGTTGGCACAGACTGACTCAGCTTAACCCCACATAGTGCACAGCACTGCTACCTTTGGGCTGGAAGACCACACCATGGAGGAGGGAGGCATCATCTCCTCCTAGAAAATCTAAAGTAATTTTGTCTTGCCTTGTGCAGAAGATGATACTCAGGGCTGGATAAGTTTATGTGTTTGGACAGGCGTGGCTTCAGCTGCCTGTAGCTTTCCCTATCTACGTACTGAAGAGTAATTCAGCCAAAGAAAATCGAATCAGTTAAAAAAACACAAAGCTTTAATGCAGTCTTGTGATTATAGCACCGACGTATCGAGATGCTGCAAGCACCAATGCTGCAATTTTATAGCACCCTAAAGCCACCTGTCCCAGATCCCCATCACTATCCTGGCCTTTATGTTCTATCCCCTGGTATTTGTGTTCTGCCCCCTGATATTCATCTCCTTTCTCATATTCCTGATACGTGCCTGCAACTGCTGGATTTGGCCACCAAAAACTCAAGGCCAGCTAAGAGCACTGGTCACCTTTACAGCCAGGAAGTGGAGATAATATATGTACTGTTTTGTTGTCCTTGGAGTGAATGTTATAAAGATGCTGTACACGAATGGGAAGGCTTGGAGGTGACAGATCATTGACTTCAATCTTCTCTAGGAAAAATCAAGCCAGGGCAAAGCAGGGATAATGAGAGGATGTGCTAATTTAAAAATTGATAACATTTTTTGTTAGTGAATTTCTTTCTTCTTCTATTTTTTTTCTCCATTTTAATTACAAGATGTATATTCTATGCTGCCTTTTTTAAAAGATCTGTAAGAGGTACCAGGACACAGTGAAAAATGTCAGAAAGGTCAGGTTCAGAAAAAAAAGAAGGAAAAAAAAGACTTTTTTCCCCTTTCTGATCAATTAAAATTAACTGTAAAGGTGGTGATGGGAAGGCAATTAACATCACTAGCAGCACACGAAGAGCATCCAAGAGGGACAAGCTGCCACTCTTTCCTTTTAGGCTTTTTGGGGGACTGGTTTCAGTGTCCTCATCAGGCACAAGGGGCTCTCAAGCTTCTGCATAGTCTGTTTTTATGTACATAATTTATACCATGCATAGCAACAATTATGCAGTAGCACTGAGCTAGCATAGCTGCAAATAAAATGATGGGAGAGTGCCCCCAGGAAGAGTAGCCTTCAACCTCAGGGATGCCCCTTAGTCCTTGCTGCTTCCATCAGTACCATGGGTGCTCATCTCAACATGCACAAAAGGGAACAACCTCCCAGAAATCCCACCCTGTACCTCTACTCCTCTAAAACACCCTGTCCAACCCATTTTCTCCCCCTTGGTGATCCCATACCACAGTGTTGAGCTGGCTGAGCCACTGGTGGAGGAAGATGTTCCACATAGATCCCAATAGGCAGAGGAATACCCAGCAAAGATGGGAGAAAGAGAAAAGGATTCAAACCAAACTGCTGGTGTTAATACCTTCAAGCCAAGGATCCCAAAAGCAGGCAGGATAGTTTTAGGTATGTCTAATTCGGGCATTCATGATTTGCTCCTTGCTCCACCACACAAGTTGAGTTATTTAACCCCATTTTTATTTCTCTGGGTGCTAACATGCACGGAGAACAACTGGGAGCAAAGGCAGAGAGAGGATTTAGGGTGAGTCCAGGAGGTGCATTAAGGCTAACAAATGTCTCACGGGATGTCCCAGGGACCTAGGGCTGCTCAGAGCTCAGGAAACAAAAGTCCATAGTAATCATAGTGCCATTCTTGACTTGCAAGTGTCTCACAGCTGTTTCTGTGAACAATAGTCCTTTTTATGCATGTCAAAACTTGAGGGAACACAATAATTTTGCCCAAGCGGTTCTACATGGGTTATTGTTTGCACAAAAAAAGTGAAGAAAAGTGGCTTTAGATAGAGACACAGGTACATGAGCACACCTGGAGGTGCTCTTTGTCCCAAGGGAAGTATTTGTCTGCACCCAATGAATTACCTGGCTTCATGCATCACCTCCTGAGTTAATCTGGGTCCCTCTGGATCTGCCAGAAGAGCCCAGGACATGCCCCCCTTCCCCATAAATCCTTCTTTCCACAGTATTTTTGGGTCTTCAGGAAGGTCAGTGCTCAGCATCTCTACCAGCCCCTTTCAGCAGGGATGACTGAACAACCCCTGCTCCAATTCCTTCCCTTCCTGCTGCACACTGTGCCCTTTCCTGCTCGCTCCTAGCTCACACAACCAAAGCAACCCCAAAACACAAATGACCTCCCTCCCCATCTCCTGTCCCATATCAGCCTCTAGGGCTGACACCCTTGCAGATGTTTCTCTACCTTGTCCCAGAACACTGAGGGTTGTTCCACTGAAATCCAGACCAAAACAGAGCCCTTCTCCCTGTGCTGCTGTCATCCATTCCCACCCAGCATTTTGGATGAGCAGCACGCATGTCCACACTCCACTATCACATCTCAGCCATGCAGGCTGCCCAGCCTTATTTGCTTTCAAAATGTTCCTCTAGCTCTCCTGCTGCATCCAAGCCATGCAGAAGGCAAGGAAAACCAATGGAGGATGAACATGATACAGCCCTTAGGATTTTCTATTTTTGGGTGAGAAATACCAGATTCACAGATGGCAGCTGAGGGTTCAGCTTTTAGGGCAAGGCGGGTGATGGCCATACGAAGCTGGAGGTGAAACCCTCAAACAGCATTTGGCAAAGCCATAAAGCCAGTTTTGTGGGGCTTGATGAAATGGGTTAATGCACTGATCCCCTCTTGCTCTCCTCTAGAGAGAGCCCGTGATTACCTGCACAAGACTGGACGGTTCATCGTCATCGGTGGCATTGTCTCACCTGTGCATGATTCCTATGGGAAGACGGTGAGTTCCTGTTATCTCCTCTTTGTATGTGCAACGTCAAGCAGAGAGAAGCCACAAGAAAGCCTCCAAGAAGATGGTGAAGGATAAAACCAGCCAGCCTTCAGATAAAACTTACAGTGAGAGCCTGTAACCAGATAAAACCAGAAAGGAAAGAAATGCTACCATCCAAAATGATGGGGGTCATTTTGGGGGGGTTGTGTTGGTTAAATGATTTTAAAGCCAGTTTTTATCCTAATACAAATGAGTTTTATTCTGAAGGGAAAAAAAAAAAAAAAGCTAAAATAAGAAAGGAGATTTTGCTCCTCTCTTGTGAGATGCAGAAATTTCAGCAAGAAAAGCCATCCCTAGGCCTGCACCCACCATACCCTGGGTAACCACACTGAGACCTTCAGCTTCGAAAGGCAGGAATGCTTCTTATCCAGAAACAAGGAACTCAGATCATCTTTGTGCACCGCCTCCTTTTAATGCTCAGTTTTACTGTTCCAGGGCCTGGTGTCCAGCCGGCACCGCCTGACCATGTGCCAGCTGGCTGTGCAGTCTTCCGACTGGATCCGGTGAGTGACAAAGACCACTGCAGGGAAGGGGTGCTGGGGCTACACAGCAGCAATCCCTGGTCCACGGCAGCCCACATCTGAGCTGGGACCAGTAATGCCATCAGGAAGATCACATTACACGCAGATATATCCAAGCCCAATGGATCGGGAGTTAAGAGTATGGAGGAGTCTGGGCATCGGCACATGTTCAGGATCTCTCCCACCCCAGGACAGGGAAGGGACGTGGAGAGATGAAGCTACTAGGGAGAGCTGGGGTGGAAGGTTTGGAGGAAGGAGGTGGTGTGGTGTGGACATAAAGGCAGCAGCCACCAACTAATGCTGCTGCCTCCCTGTGCTCCTGCAGGGTGGATCCCTGGGAGTGCTACCAGGACACCTGGCAGACCACCTGCAGCGTGCTGGAGCACCACCGTGACCTGATGAAGGTGAGTCCCTCTGCACCTCGAGTCCTGGTCCTGCACCAGAATCAGGCTGCAGACACCATCCTCTGCCTGGATGGGCTCTGGAGCCCAGAGGTGGACATCAAAGCCTAGAACATGGCTGGGACAGATGGAGAATATACATATTCCTGATCTGAAGAATTATGCAAGCCATTATGTCACAGTTGTCTGCTCCTCTTCCCTGCCCCTGAAAGCAAACTGAGCCCCTTGGATGAACTACTTGCATTATCAACAATCGGCAGGGAGGAAACAAGTTTTTTCTCTAAATAAAGGAGTAGTAGGGTCCTACTTGCCCAAGACCCATTTGGTGAGATTATAAAGCAACAGGAAAGCTAAAGATGGATGGGTCTGTCACTAATGACGATCTTCATCTTCAGTGAGAGGAGACAGCTACTGAAGCAGCAAGGGTTCCAGGAATCACCTCCAGCCTTGGGGAAGCCATCTTTACCACTAAATTTCTCTCTTGCTGCAGAGAGTGACCGGCTGCATCCTCTCCAATGTCAACACCCCCTCCATCACCCCCGTGATCGGACAGCCCCAGAATGAGTCTACGCAGCCTATCTACCAGAACAACAACGTGTCCAACAAGCCCACCGCAGGTAGGTGGCTCTGGGGAGGAAGGGGAGGAACTGGCCACCTGTTCTTCACACCCCATCGTGAGGTACCAAACACTTGCTCAGGAATGCTTCTGAGCTCCTCCAAGTCCTCTTTCACCTCTAATGGTGGAGAAGTGTTCCCATTCCCTCTTCTCAGTTCTCTAGCTTGTTGGCATCACTGGAGATGGGGAATATCAGTGTGCTTGTGCTCCATGCAGCCTCAGGATCCCCAACCCGCCTCACGACTCAGATTGATTTTTGGTTGGTCCCAAATTTAACAAAAGATATCTATAACTCTATGTTAAGCTGACCTGTCTCCACACTCCTGACGAACACCAGTCTAGCTCCCTCTGCACTCCTGGCGGCATATTTCTGTTCTTTTCTGCTCCAGCTGAAAAAAACAATCATTTTATTTTTCAGCTGACCTGGGTGAGGTCTCTCAGCAGGCTCACAGTGCCTGAGGGATATTTGGTTATTTGAAGGCTGAGTCATCTGCCAGAGGAGATGTGGGAGTTGCTGTCCCCATGCATGGGAGCATCCCATGCTCCATGAGGGCAGTCAGCCACGGATGAAGCCTCTCCCCATCTTACTTTTCTTCTTCTCTGCCTTCAGCAAAGATCCTGGGGAAGGTAGGAGAAAGCCTGAGTCGGATCTGCTGCGTTCGCCCACCCATGGAGCGCTTCACCTTTGTTGGTAGGTACAGGATTACAGCATCACCCCCAGCCCCATCTGCCTCCCCAGCACTCCCTGCCATGTATCAGCACCTCTATTCTTCCCTCCCAGATGAAAATGCCAACCTGGGGACAGTGATGAGATATGAGGAGATTGGTGAGTATGCAGCCCCCCAGCACCCCTCAGCACCACCAGAAATCTGGTGGCATGTAAGGGATGCTGAACCATCACCACCCCTGGTGCTAGGCAGCATGGCCTGGGGCTGAAATGGGAGCAGCGCTTGGAAACTCCTCTGCCCACCCCTCCTTACCTGGGCAGTTTTGTAGCTTTCCTCTATGGGTTTGCAAACCAACAAAAAAATCCTAAAAGCTCCAGTGCTTCATCATGCAATTGTACTGCTCAGCTTTGCTGTAGAAAAATCAAGCCATGCCCAAGGCTCAGTGCAGCTCCACGGATATCTGCAGATCAAGCCCCTGCAACAGGCCACAGAGCACTTATATGTGTCTGAAAATGCAGAAATGCCTCCTGACCCCATGGGATACCACGCCTTCGGGGCACATCTAGGTGTCTCAGCAACCCACAGCAACGCTGGCAATGACCCAGCAGTGCAGGAGAGGAGCAGAAATAGTGCACAGGATAGTTCAGGGTTGGCTTTCTGTTTGGTACCATTGGGGATGCAAGGACTGTAGCTTCTTTAGCAGGATTCATTTTGGCAAAGGATGGTGTTTTGGTGAAAGAGAACACCCTTGAGCAGAGCAATGGGATGGCAAGAAAGGAGAGGGAGAGGTGTACTCAGTCGTGCTCTCTCCCATCTCTGAACACTTCTGCTTCCTTCCTTCAGAACTGCGCATCCTCCTGCTCTGTGGCAGCGACCTGCTGGAGTCCTTCTGCATCCCTGGCCTCTGGAACGAGTCTGATGTGAGTCATTTGCCAGGGCCTCTTTCTCCCCTTCCCTGGGCTCCATTCCTCCACCATCTCCTGAGTGCTGCCCTGGTCTTCCCCACCATTCCCATCACTTGCCTCTGGTGCACTCCTGCTTTACAAAAAAGCTGATGTAAGAGAAGTGTTGCCCTTATGTTAGAAATGAAAGACCCTTAAAATCATACCAGCAGCTTGCACCTAACAAAAGAAGAGTAAATAATAATAATAAAAGAAGAAAATAAGTAAAATAATGACAAAAGAAGAAAAGAATTAAGACTGAGAAGAAAAACGGTATCTCCTCCTCAGCCAGACATTGCCCATCTCACATGGACAAACAATCTGCAATAATGACTGTGGTGAGATTTTGAGAGCAGCCAAGACCACATCCACATGGCAGAACACATTATAAGTGATGGAGAAGTTGTTTTTATTCTCCCTTGCGAAGGCAGATCCAACCTGCAGAGATGGCTTAGCTCTGTGCTTGGCTTTGATGTTGGTGCTTTTACAGCATCCCACTAGAATTCAGGCATAGTTCAGTGTACTGAGATGAGCCTATCACAAACACCACTACGAATGAAAAATGCTTCAATTCACACTGGAGGTCACCATCCCTCCACAGCAAGGGGAGCAGCCTGCTCCCAATAAACAGGATGGTGCTGGGATCCATGCACCACCCCAAGAATCCTCCTCCCTTCCATCCTGAGGAGAGCCTGTCCACGGTGATCAGCTCTAGAGCACCACCAGAGACACTAGTAAATAATAACATCAACACAAAGAAATCCAGGGATGAGGGGCTGTAAAGACAGCGTGCAGCAGTGCAGCTGCTGCCTCCTCCGCTCCAATCTCCAGTGAGGCAGAGTTCATGTCATCCTCGGGCAACATCTGCTGCTGTCCTTTCTACCATGACAAGTTCTCCCTGAAGCCTAACTTCAACATTCATTAACAGAGTTTAACCCTGTTCCTTTTTATTTCATCCACCACAGATCACTCTGCGTGTCACCAGCATCACTCCTTAACAAAAACCAAGTTTTTCCCAAATGTTGTCCAAAAAGAGAAAATTTGTGTTTAACCCTCATCCAGGTTTTGCCAAGTGCTTGCAGGGTGCACAGCTGTTTGGGGTGGTGGTTGGAAGCTGTGGCAGATTTTGCACTGGCAGGTCGTGAAAACTCTCTTTGTGTTGATTCTATCCAGATGGAGGTGATTGTCGGGGAGTTTGGGATTGTGGTGGTGCCCCGGGATGGAGCAGACCCTGATCGGATCATGAACCACTCCTCAATACTCCGCAAGTACAAAGTAAGTGGATTCAAATATAGTCAGGGAGCCAGAGAATCATAGAATATCCTCAGTTAGAAAGGACCCAATGAGGAACACTGAGCCCAACCCCTGCCCTCACACATCACCACCCGACCCCAACCCCTGTGGCTGAGTGTCCCAGCACACCCTGAGCTCTGACAGCTCAGGGCCATGCCTACTGCCCCACAGAGCAGACCCTTTTCCTACTCCTGACCCTCCCCTGACTCAGCTCCATGCTTCTCCCACAGGCCCTGTTGCTGTCCTGCCCTGCTCTGGGCTGAACAAGCCACAGCACCTCAGCTGCTCCTAATAATATTGCTCTCCAGACTCCATGCTGCCTTTGTTGCCCTCCCTGTCACCCTTTGCTACACCCTTTCCATGAGATTAAACCTTCTTGAGAGCCTCAAAGTGCCCTCCCAAGCCCCACCAATGTCACACTGGACATGAGACCTGGAGAATTCCCCCCTTGATTAGCCTCAGCTGCTAACTGGGATCACAGATGTGGCCATCACCTCCACGGCCAACCAGACACAGGTGGGGCAAACACTGATTTTCATCCCTCCCTTCGCTCATTGCTTCTTTCTCCACCCACAGAACAACATCCTGGTGGTGAAGGATGACTCGAACCACCCCATGTCTGTCGTCAGCTCCACCAAAAGCAGGTGGGTGATGCTGAGGGTGCCCCCAACCAACCCCCCCCATTCACGGGGACACCACCGTGTTCTCAGCCCTTGCTCAGGAAGTCCAAATTCCTGGAAAGGGGCTGTCCAGCTCCCCACGTAGGCTCTGACCCTCCTCTTCCCCTGCTCCCCTAGACTGGCCCTGCAGCACGGGGATGGACACGTTGTGGATTACCTCTGCCAGCCTGTCATCGACTACATCCTCAAGAGCCAGCTCTACATCAACGCCTCCGGCTAAGTGCCAGAGGCCCTGCAGCAGAACAGCCCTGTCGTCCCATGTCCCTACAGCTCTCCATCACACTTTTCTCTCTCTTTCTGTGTCTTCATCTCTCTCCCCACCCCATGGCCTCTCACTCTCGGCGCCGATGCTCCGTAGTGCAGCAACATCCAGGGACCGGCGGCACGGCCCCACGGGGAATGGTTTGGTCTCTTTTTTTTATGGGAACTGTCCTCCCCATATACACGGGGAGGGAGGGGGGCAGAGATGTGCTCAGTGTGCTCACTGAGGGGCAGCTCCATCCCCCCTCCCAGCATGTCACTGGGAAATGGTCCCCCCCGGTCCGTCCTCCCAGCATGCTCAGAGCAGGGGCTTCCTCTTTGCTCAACAAATCTAGGTGAATTTTTTTTCAGGGTTTTTTTTTTTTCCTTTTTTTTTAAAAATTAAATAGTTGTAGTGCAAGCTCCTTAGCTCTCTTGCCACAGTGCCCTGCTTCCCATGTAATCCTGGTGGGCAGTGGGCAGGCATAATGCAAGTGGTTCTGTGCCCCGCAGAACCTCCTCAGGCCAGCAGTAAGGACAACCCAGCCACCAAAATCCTCCACTTGGCCCTGACAAGTCATGAAGATGGTGTTTCTGAAGGGGCAAGCAGTGCTGCCAAAGCATAACTTACCAGGGGAATGTCACATCTCACTTCTCCTTGTCTGCAAGTGAACTCAACCCACCCCAAAGCCAAGGATAGACGCTGTACTCCAGCCTCATGTCAGAAGAGGCAGCCTACAGCCCCTGGAAAGGGACCTGCTATTTACAACACCAAGAAACAAGGGAGGAAGAAGAGGGGAAGAGGTGGCCTGAAGCCACTGATGAGAATTGCCCCAGGCCTGGCTCGGCTGTATAGGGCTGGGTCTGTCCTCATCCTCAAGCCTCCAGCTCTCCAATGCTGGCTGTCAAATTCCCATTTTTCCTCTCTCTCCTTTCCTCTTCCTGTCCTTGAAAAGTTTATGCATGATATATTCGCCCTTCCAAACTGGCTTCGGGTACTTCACACATCCCTTGGGACAAGCCAGATTCTTGCTTTCCTGTCTGTGACAAGCCTGGTGGAAGCTGCTCAGCCAGATGCCAAAAAACAAGGCATGTAGCATGGAGCAAAAGGGAATAATTTGAGTCCTGCAGAGATGAGGGTTACTTAAGCAAGCTGCTGTCCTGCTGGGTATCCCGGGGTGCAAGGACCCTGCTGGTCCTGGTGGCTCAGCCTCTTGAAAGATGGCAGCCACAGGGAGGAGGGTACAAGTCTTGTTTTCCTTCACACCTTTCTCCCTGCCTTTGCTCCTTCCAGCTTCACATCTCCAGTGTCTATAGCTCCTGGACATCTGCCCATTCCCCGCAGACCTGGGCTGGTGAGATTTAGAGAATTTCTTTGCTTATCCCCAGCAAGGGACAGTGCTGTGTCAGCACATGTGGAGGCTGAGACTATTCCAAGGTATTTCAGGGAAAGAAAAGAAAGAGCTAAGTTTTTTTTTTCACAAGTTGCTCTTTGGGAGCTTCAAAGATGAGACTTTGCACTATGGTTGGTGACCTGCTGGGCACTGCTGTCCTCTGTGTTGCAAGTGTGCCACAGCCCCCTCCAGAGAAGGCAGCTGTCACCTCCCTAACAGCAAAAACACTGGGCAAAATGACACAGTCTGTACATACAAGGTCTTTGCAGCAAATATGTCAAATCCCTCAGATCCAGCCATGCTATTTCCAGGCAGTTGTTTACATACCTGGAGGGATGAGGGGGCACAGAGATCCCAGACCAGAGAGGGTGGCCAGAGAATGCAGGAACACTTCCAGGGATGAGCCCCCATCCTGCTGAGCCCCAAAGCTAATGCTTCAACAGGTTCTAGCTGGGCATCTCACCTATGAGCACCCAACCTACAAAAGCTGATAGCTAGACTCCTCTAAACCCATTGCTTCCACTCACGTGTTCAGGTTTTCAGCCTGTTTTTCCTCTCCACCCCAACGCAGGGGTCATTCCTGAAAACATCCTCAGACATCACACCTACATTTCTTAGCTCCAAGCTGGAGGAAAAGCAGCAATGTTAGAAACCAGCCTCCAAGACACACATACAAAGGGATTGGAACCTCTGGGAGAGATGAAGAAGCTGAAAAGGAAGGATGGTGGCTTTGAAGAGAGGAAAAGACAGTGGAATAACAAAAGAGGAGACAAAGAAGGAGCGAGGGCAGCAAGTCTGAGAGCAAGCTCAGATCCCCTTCTCCTCCCTTCCTCCCTCAGGTACATGAGATGGGACGTGCAGGAAGCCAGCTGGCTTTCCATCTCATTGTGGTTAGGATGGCATGCCTTAGAGACATAGCGTTGTGATAGGGATGATGAGTGTATTCTGTCTTACTAGTCTTATCTATGCCTTCATGTATCCGCTCAGTAACACTCACAGAACGGGACAAGGATAGGGGAGGGAGGGGGGTTTGGTACAGTCAATGCTGGGATTGGTTTGGAAAACATCTATGGTGGGTGTGGAAAAACTCATCCCTTGAGATCCATGCAGATGGAGGGGAGGGGAGGAAGGGGCTTTCCAGCACTGCTGGGGTGGGAGGCAGCTCCTGGGTGTGGGTCTTTGAACCTCTGATTTTAAACAGTGGGGTTTGCTGAAAGAGAAATGAACTTCAAACGTCTTTTGGAAAATAAAAAAGGGGGGCGGGGGGAAGGGTTGAAGTTTGCCATGCCACCAATTTCACTTTTGTGAAAGGTTTTGGAGCCTAAATTGTTTTGTTTTGTTTTGTTTTTCTTCTGTTGCTATATAAAGAAAATGGTCATTGACAAAAGAAAAAAAACTTTATCAGCAAAATGTTTAAATTATGTAATAAACAAAACAAAAGGAAAAAACCCAAGATGCTACTGGTGTCATCTTTCCCTGCTGCTGTGCCATTTCAAACCCAAACCACCTCCAGATGGAGTCAGCCTGAGGAGCACAAGCTGCTGGGAGAACTCATGGCCAGGCTTGCCCAAAACACAGCGCTGGAATTGAACCAGCAGGCAAGAGCTTACCAAAAGCATTCAGTATTTATTGGCCTCCTCCCTTCCAAAAACCCAACTCACAGAGGAATAATGTCAGATCCGTAATACCTGTCCTATGGTGTATGGGGAGAGAAGGAAAACATGCCAGAGGTAAGAGCATATCTCACTTAAATACAAATATAACACAGACAGTTACTCAGTAAACCCTCAACCAAGCAATAGCGTGGGCACTGCTTTACCAGAGAAGCAGTGCTAACAAGATTTGGTGTTCAGTCCTCAGATCATTCCTGCTCAGCACCCACTTCATGCTGGTCAGGGCACTTCAGCAGGGCTGGTTTTCAGCATCAGAGAGCTCTGGGCTTCCTTTTTCCCTGAAAAAGCATCAGAAGAAAACTGGAAATGGTGTCAAACTGAAGGTAAATCCACAGGAAAGCAGCAGGTGGGTGTAGGGAGCACCGTTGTCTTCAGTTCTTCCAGGCTGTGCTCAGGAAAGTAGAAAAATCTTGTGCACAATGACTCACATCTAGCTTTGGGAACATCCAGCACCATACATGTAGGATTGGAGGGAATGGGCAGCACCAAACCAGAGGTGGAGAAACATTTGAGACATTTTCAGTATCCTTCACCAGGTCAAATTAGGATGCTGGCACTGCAGCAAGGGTGGGAATGGGCTCCCAGATGCCAATGCTTGGCTGCAGTCCCCCAGAGTAAGCTCCTGTGCCTGAGATGAGAGACATGGGATCCCAAATGCTTGCACAGAGCAAATATGACCTTGCTCTCCCTGAGCTCTGGGACACCCAGGAAGCTGCCAGGAGCCAAAGCAACCAGTCTTGGAAGAAAAGGTTGTGTCTGTGTGAGAGAGAGGATGCTAGGGAAACCTGTGTTCGCCCAGAAAGAGCTTTGATGGGAAAAACATCCCTTCAGGGCTGGGCAAAATAGAAACCACCCGCCTGAGGAGCCTGGTGGAACACCTGCAGCTTTATGAAAAGGGTCATCAGCGGCACCTGCTGCTGCTGAACCCCTAAGCCACATCCAAAATGGCACCAGCAAACCCCAGCCCACAGGTGGGCATCTCCTTCCTCCTGAAATTGAGGGACGGATCGTTTTGAAAATCAGAGACTCTCCAGCTCCAGTGTGATGTGAACTTCAGCTACAACACTTGTGAACTGCAGGCACTACCCTGAGCCTTGGGGGTAAAGATAAGTCTGACAGAACCAAGCTCAGCTTCTCCTGCCAGGTTTTGTGGGAGCAGAGAGGCCTGGCTCTCCTGTTGTGAGCTGACATGGGCTGCAGCCTCCCAGTGCTGCCTCAGGGTAACTCAATGGCTTTTGTGTTGTAGCAGCCAGGAGGAAGGCTCCTCTGGATATCCTCCAGGTTCCTAATGTCTGCCAGGATCTCATCGATGCTGCTGTCCAGTTTCTGTACCCGGACCTTCTGTAGAGTGGCTCTCTGCTCAAGTTCTGACATGTGTTCCTTCAGCTGGTTGGTTTTGGTTTTGGCTTTGCTGAAATTCAGCTCGAGCTGTTTCAGACCCTCTTCATCCACAGCAGCAGGCTGGTCTGTAGCACAGGAGGAAAACAAGGAAGAGAGAACCCATGAATGGAGCCTGAAAACTAAATCTTCCCAGCTACTTCAGCTCCATCTACAGGTGTCATCTTCCCAAGAAATGCTCAGTACTCCCACCCAGAGCCCAGCAGTACCCAGATTTCAGCTGCAAACCACAGCAACATGATGAAACCTACTCATCAGACGCAGCAGCTCCTCCAGGACACCCAGTGTCTCCTGCACTGCCACCCCAGCCTGGCCAGCCTTGGTATGGACATCTTGAGCTTCCTTGGTAGTCTGGGGAAAGAAAGATGGAAGCTGTAAGGCAAACTTTTGCCCAAAAGTCAACAGAGAAGCATGCACAATGTGGGAGCCAGGGACCCACCTCCTGTATCATGACAGCATCTGCCTCAGCTTCTGAAACCTTGCTCTGGAATTCTCCATCCACTTCTTTGGCTTCATGCTGTAGAGCTGCCACTGCCTTCTCCAGTGCAAGGACCCCGTCAGCTGTCTTGTTGGCCTCCAACCTCAGCCGTGTGATCTCCTGGGGGAGGCAAAGGCACGATGCTCAGGGGCAGAGCAGTCACCCTGGGTGCACTGGGACATGGAGCTGTTGGGACCTGGCTCCTTCCACAGACCTGGGACCACCACAAGATGGCTAAAGCGACTTGCCACAGAGATCCCCATTGGATAAACCTGTCTGCAGAGATCCCCACGCACTCACTCTTTTAGAATCACCTCAAGTATCTCTACACACTCCTATATAGGCAAGTCGACGCAGAAGTCAATGCAACAGGTGCACTGCAAAGATGGTTGGAGT